GCTTTTTTTCTTTTGTTTGTTCCTGCTGCTGTGATTTCAGCAGAGCTGTAACGTCCGTTGAAGGTGCATACTCCCACTCTCGCATGTACCCCAGAATCTGAATCCGGCTGCTTTCACGTCCCTAGAGGTAGTTGATTTTTTTTTTCTTGTTCTTTTTTTTTCGCATTTCCGAAGAGAAGCGTAAAAGAAAACACAATGGGACCCAGGCTCGGCAACTTTCAGTGCACAGTGAAATTCAGGGTTGGCAAAAACAGGCTCGGAGGTACTAGTGGTTTAAGATTTAGGAATTACACATACATGGGAATTCAGAAACCCACATTGGCTTCGGCTTCTAGAAGTCGTGACTCTCTTCAGTTACACAAAAGGTCAGATCGAGTGGCGGTCATTAAACGGGGAAGAGGTGTCTATAGGAAAACAAGCTATAGCAAAAACCTTAGTTCCCAACTTCCCACACTTGCTCTAGCATCCCACAAGCATCTGACAGCAACGCAGCTGAGAGAGGCCAAGAATGAGAAGACTCACAAGACCAAGAGGTACTGAACGAGAGGAGCTAACTTTGGCGGGGGTGTGGGGTGGTACATCCTTCCTAGGGAAGGAATCAATGCCATCCGAAGTATTGAAGTTTTCCAAAAAGACCGTGTGTGTCCTTAATATATAGAGGAGAGGAGCGTGTGTGTCCTTAATATATCCATCATTGACTACCGTCTTCCCCTGAACATAACGCATATGTGTTGTATTGAAGTTTTGTTAGACCTTTTTCTTCGAATACAAGGGCACTTCGAATGTACCGCATACGTGTTCTATTCGAATAATTCGCATATGCATTATATTTGAACTTCACAAAGAGAAAATCGTTGTATTCGAATGTAACCTTGTTTTGTTTCCCCCCCCCCCCGAAGGTCGACGCCTGCTCCATTCTTGCCCTGGTGAACGGGACAGGGCCGCGCAGGCCCGTAATCACAAATCACTTCGCGTACTCTCTCTCTCTCTCTCTCTCTCTCTCTCTCTCTCTCTCTCTCTCTCTCTCTCTCTCTCTCTCTCTCTCT